ATAAACTCACCAAATGTAAAGAAATTAAAAGACAAAACACCTATTTTCCGCATTAAATTAAATAATACAATGAAAATATTCTATCTCTAAAAGCTATTGCTGCCTCTCTGCTCCTGGTGCTCCTGGCGTGTCCCTCTCCTGTCCCGGGCTGTCCCGGCTGTGTCCCCATTGTCCCCAGAGTTAGAGTCTTGTTTGGAGCCTTTGCGAATCACCTTGTAACTGTATTTGTCAAACTAGTAGCAGTTAGATGTGTAAATACACTCTACAGCGTTTTTTCCTGTCATGGTTCTTTCACGCAACACTGATTCAAAGTATAAAATAATTGAATATCTGCTCTTCTAAGATTGTGTTTTATGCTCACTCAGTGGTTCAGTTGACAGAGTTTTTCTGATGTTTGTAGAGTTGGCGTTTGACCTAAAACATCTCTATATATTCTATATGGAAGAATATCAGGGTGTTTGTTCAGTGACAGCTTTATTAAAGTAAAGCGAGGTTTGGTGAGTCTGCTCTGACGTTACACTGAATTCACAGTGACTGAAACCCTGAAGCAGATGGTGAAGCCGGGGTGGAGTCGCGCCTCGGGGCCCGACTCTGAGGTCAACAGTCATTTCTGTGGATCCTTACGGAGCCTCGTTTTATTTATGACTTATATTTGGGGCAGCCATGGCCTGAAGGTCAGAATAGCAGGCTTGTTACCCAAAGGACCAGCTGGAGCAATGAATGAGCAGCAGTCTTCCCTCCATCCGCCGCTACCGGCTCTGCAGAGTGCCCTTGAGCAAGGCACTGAACCTTGAACAGGTCAAGTCTAAATTGCTCAGTAAAAAAAGAGATGATTTGGGACAGCAGCTGCTGAAATTGGTGATAAGACTTTTCTTTCCACAGCTCATATCAACATTAAGTTACCACGTCAGACCTTAACCAGGAGATTTGAGTGAACCAGAATGTGAGGTAGTTGGAAGGAGTGGGGGCTTCATCGTGGTCTAAGTCGACCCTGCAGTGTGATTATGGTGATAAAAGAAATCCTGAAACCACATTTCCCATTATCTGTGTAATCTGATAGACTGTCTCCTAATAGGCTTTGCTGCCCACAAACACAGCTCTGATAAGGGCTGTGAACACTCCTTTATATGAAGTCTTTGCTTCGGGGATCTGTTGCACGACTACAGTTGCATATTTGTTGATTTCCGATACCACATTTTACACTTGAGGCGGGTTTGCTGAGGCTGTTAGATTTAAAACTTTAATAAGCAGAAAACAACTAATTTCTCTATAGATATGAGATATAGTGAAGTCTTGGCGTCTCACTCCCTTTACCTGTGTTGCTATCGCAGCCTCTCTGTGGTTTGTTTGCTCCGTGTGTGGCTGAGTTGAGCGACTGAAACTGCTGTTTTTATCATCTAGGTCGGTGAATTAATGATTTATTTTGACAAAAGCAGTGTTGGTGATAGTTGGAAATACTAACAAAGACCCTTTTTGATGAGTTTTATCTCTGCCCTATTGTTTTGGTCTGAGGTGCTGGTGCTCTAGTGCGACATCCAGTGACATCCATTTAACCTTTAAAGCCTAAATCCTCAAGACTTCCCTCTATAAGTTGATTAGTGTTTACTGGTTGTATCAGAAAGTGTTTTTTACTGCTATAGCGAACACAAGTTGAACAGAGGAGCAACAATGCAGCCAAACGAACCATCCATCCATTAGCGATACCTGCTTACCTTTAGAGGGACGCCGGGGGCCGGAACTGAACAGGCCGCCACTCAATCACAATTCACGCTCACATTCAGTCACTAATTTCCATCGTGCTGCAAGCAGCTGCAGCCTGATTTCACGCTGCATAACAGCAGGACAAAGTCAATTTGGTTAGTTTGCTGAGGAGTTGATCGCCTGCAGCTCCGCATCTAAGAGCTCACTGTGGCCGCTCCTTCCTCTTTCACTCCCTGCAACATTTTAAACTGCTCCATTGACCGTGTTTGGTTTTGCGGCGCATCACTTCCTGTGAATCCCTCGAGCATGAAGCCAATTCCAACCCTATTTTATAGAGGAGGTAATTACCAAATGTAAATGCATGGAATGGCTGTTAAAATACTGAATATAAATGATGATTTTAATTAAACTCGTATGGATTATAACTTAAAGGCTAGTCCAGCTACTCCTTTCAACGAAACTCTTTGTTTTTAGCATCTGTGATCTCATTCTGTTAATCCCCTTGAGGCTCACGGCCGTGGATGTTAACTGATTTGCCATTAGGCTTACCTTACTTTCCACTGGGACAGTCTGGTAGAGTGCATTACTGCTGACGCTGCACCAATCTGCCCGTTAGCCTCACGTTTTATCTTACCTTCACAGGAATATTTAATGAAATAATCGCATATTTACACTCTCCCATTCCCCTTGCACTCTCTTTGATGATGATCTCGCTTTCTGACAGCGAATCGTTCCTGCAGAAAAAGACCAGATGGTGTTAAACTTCTGTAAATTGAGATATATTGTGGTAAGATAGAATACTTTTAGGATGATCCTACAGAAGTCCTCACTTCAAGAAAGGTATAAAATATGTCTGACGAGTCATAGACATAAAGGTAACATCTGTATTTTGGACCTGGATATGATTTTCCAATGTTTTTCTGTCACTAATGGGGACAACAATTCTTAAGACTGAAAAAAAAGGATTTGTAGGATTTTGTGGCATCTCCTTCACTTCACCCTCCATTTCCAGAGTGTGTAGGAGAAACGTGTGAAAAACTAAAACTAGGGATGAACGATATGGATTTTTTTTCCCGACCGATATGATAACCAATAATTTCACATTATTGTATTTTAACAAGAAGTTCATAACTTGTATTTTACGCACATATGATGGCAAGAAAGGCTGAAAGATGGATGATTTAATATTCCATAGCTCTGTCTGTGGTCACTCAGACCTCTTTGATACTTCATATTTATACAGAGACCGGACAGAAAA